AGTCTTTAAAACTCTTGCGTAACACTCTTGAGCTGCGTTCCAAATAATTCTGAAACCAAAAACCTCCCCCTCCCCCCCCCCTTTTTTTATATTTAAAACCCCGCATCCCGGGTTTACCCTTTTTTCCCCACCAACCCAAAAAATACCCCCTACCCCACCCCCTTTGCCCTCCAAATTGCCCCCACCATCTCAAAACTCGTCCACCACCTCACTCCTCACCAGCCTCGCATTTAACTTCCGAAACTGAATATACCTTTCCCCCCCTCCCAATCCATTTCTACCAAAACTCCCTATGATCCGAAAACCCTACATCTACTGTTTAACCCCTCCTACCCTAACTGCCTCCTTATATAAACCTATCTAACCTCGCGAATAATTTCCCAAAACAAAAGTGTAATCCACTCCCCAAAGCCCCACTCCCCTCCCACGCCCTCACCCCTGATCCTAAAACATTGCGAACGACCGTAATACACAACCCCCCCCCCTTTTGGCTCCACTCCCCCCCCCCTTAAACACATTCCATCCCCCCTATTACAGTTACTAGAGAAACCCCCTTAAAAAATACACTAAAACGTCTCCACAAAACCCTCTTTACTTTAATTTATTCTCCGGCATAAAAACCCCAAGAAACATACTCTAAAAAGCCCCCCTCACCATCCACCCTCCTACCCTCCCCCCCCCTCCCCCACTTTAAATACGAAAGGGGCCTTTTTCCTTCACACCCACTCCACTCCCCCTTTTAACCTACAGACCCACTACATACAATTTAAACCCTTTAATCCAAAGCACAGCCTATCTTAAAATTTATGTTCTTGATAAAGCATACATCCACATTATATCTCCTAAAAAACCTTTCCACCATACCGTTTCATTTTCATTTTTAAAACCTTTACTTTTACAGTTACTATGGAATTATTTTAAAAGGGTGGTTTAACCCCTTTTTTTCTTGCACACCCCTCCTATCCGCCTTTTTGTAGGCATTTTTCTTGCAGCTTGCTTTTTCACCCCCCCTATCCCTTCTTTATCCCTAGAACCATTAAACCCCTACATTACCCCTTCCCTCTTTTCCCCTTATGACTACACCTTTCCCCAAATTTTACTCCTGTTTTTTTTCCGGAGTAAAAACATCGTCCATCTCAACGTTCCTTTGCAGTTCTCTTACGAAACACCCCCCCACACCCCCTTCACCTGTCTTTTCCGCCCTATGGACCCCTGCCACAACGTTTGCACATTAACATTAGGCACACATATTCCTAACCTCTTGATCTTGCTGACAGTTTGCCTGCCCATTTTACACCCTTCATCCACCTGTCCCTCCTAAACGTCATGAAAAAAGGAACAAATACTTCCTCCACAAGCCATCCTGTTGGCCCGCCCTTTCCTCATCAACGCGAGTCGTCTGTCCCTTATAAACTGTTAGTTTCCCTTTTCCTCCATATCGCCCAGCCCCTATCCATTTCGTCACTCCCGGGAAAGGGAATCTTGTTTGGCCTTACTCCTCCCCGCCCCCCCCAGATCTTTCCTCTGATTAAGATCCGGGACCTGTTCCCTCCGCCATTTTTTTATAGCATTGGGCCGCCAAATTTTTCAAAAAAACCCACAAATCCAAGTCTTCCGCTGCCCTGGTAGCACGTAGACCTGCTTGGGGAAGCCTCCAAAAATACTATGATGGAATTGGCTGCCTCAACGTCATTTTAAGCGTAAATGACCCCTTTAGGAGCCCCCCCTAAGGGCCATTTTGCCCAACCCCCCCTCACGGAGTGGGTTTTCCCCCAAAATGTTAAAAAAACCGCCGTCACATCTGCCCGTCGCCTCAAAAGGCCGTTTTTTGTACCTTCACCCACGTCACTTAACTGGGCACATCAGTAACAACTTCCCCCATAGGTTTTTACTGCTAGCCCCTTCTCTTGAATTTTTTGACTAGCTTTTGGAGAATCCGCGTCTTAAACTTTATGAAAATTCCGAAACACCATTTAGCTACTTCCCAAAAATTCTTCGGTCGTATTCCAATACCTCACGATAGGAATGAGTAACACGTGCATATTGTTCCTGTAACGTGCCACGCCCAGTTCCACCAAACAGTGCCCTCCCCGGGGTGCAAGCGATCCCCAGTTGTACACAAAAAGGAAAACTCGCAGTAAACCCTTGTATCAGGGGCTACTGCGCAGCCTGTCCGCCGGCACAATAGCGAGCAACAATGACAAACATTAAGGGTATATAACGAGTTTCTACCATTACACAAACCCCGCACTTACTTCCTAATAGAACTAACATGATACATTGATTCCCGACATGGATGGAAAAAAAGGGCCCAATATTTTTATAATTATATGTTTTCTTGTTTTGATGCGCTGTTGTTATATCCGTGATAACGCTGAGCCCGGGAAGGGGGATACTGCGCCTGAGGGAAAGGGGAAGTAAAACAGGTTTGAGCAGGGAAAAGGGAAAAGGGTGCTCCGTAAGACAGGGACTACCCTTCAACCTTTTGGGAAGTCTTGCCTTTCAAATGGGGTAGTTTCGGTGACTTTGGATCAAAAGCCCCTTTACCGCTGGAGGCTCAGTAACCGGGACTATACAACATCGTTTCATTTTTTTTCCCCATTTTTTTTCATAAAAAGAAATGGGGCCAAATTTCTGCCGACACGGGTAAACACATCGAGAAGTACGTGTTTCGCATGGTATTAAAGCAAAAATTTTACTTAAATTCTGTTTTTAAAAAAATTAAAAATTCTTTTCTGGGTGCGTAAAGGTTCCCTGCAGCCCTAATAACCCAAGTGCAGCCGAAGGCTAAAATTTTAAAAACCAAAACCCAACCTGCATTTTCCGACAAAAGTCAGAAACACAGGTTTTTGGAACAACTTCGACTATTTATTTTAGGAGTTCCCACCGAACAAACCCCTTTTTTTATAAAACAATTTGTGCCCCCATATTTAAAATAATATAAAAAAAACACTTTTTCCATGGCCCCGCCAACAGAGAACTTCTTACACGTACAAAATTTTTTTTTCCGAGGAAATATTGCAGAAAAATTTTTGTATGGGGGGTTAAATGCTTTTTTAAAATATAAAATTGAAAGGACAACCAATCAGCGGCTAATTTTCACTCATCTGGCGGCCGCAAGGTAAAATTTTTCCCAAAAATCAGACCGAAGCAATGTTTCCTTTGAAAATATACTGTTTTCACCTTTACACCCTAATTTACAACTTTATGAACAAAATGACTAATTTACAAATACACAAAAAATTGATAACAATGTTTTATAATTTCTTAAGAATTGGTTTGGTTTTGCGGGTTACGTTAAGTTAGGTTTGGTTTTGGACTAGGTTAAAAATTTAAAACTTTTTTTTCGCATGGTGAGGGCTCTTGATCTAGCAAATTTTTTTTGTGCTCCGGTTTTCCTTTAGCTGTATAGCCCTTGTGGCTTTGCCTTCTTTTTGTTTAATAATAATCCGGTTTTCCCAATTGAGTCTAAACCCCCTCCATCCCCCCCACATGTGCTGTATAAACCTACGGGGTTAGCGCCCCCCTATTTTAAAAAATAATTTTTTTTCTACAAATACATTAAAAAGAATACGGTCAGCTGACTCAATGACATATACTACATGTATAAAAAGCCGCTTACTGACATTTCGGGGAAATTAAGGCCAGTTTTACCCGGTGGGGACCCACACAAGTAAACCCCTTTTTTGCTGTGGGTGAATTTGGGACAGCAGGCTTAAGCAAACACGTTTTAATGTTTTCCACCCTACCGGGGACTCATCTCCGACCTCAAGGGGTGAGCGAGTGCGCAGCGATCGACTACGGACACCCTATTAAAAATGAGCCCCCCCCCCTTTTTTTAAACGTTATTCTAGTCAAAATATATTAGAAAAAAAGCAGCATTTTTTTTTCCAATTTACACAAATTAAACATACCTCTAATGCACAAACCAATAAATATTGAATACTTTTAGTTATAAATTTTCGCAAAACTCGGTGGAGCCCGTCAACTAAATACTACCCAGGTTTTATTGTGACATGACTCGCTCTGTGTAGGACTTTAATTGTAACAACGTTTCGCTGTGTATCGTAGTTTTATCATGACCTGATGAAGCTCTTGAGCGAAACGTACCAATAATAGCGTGCTGCACAACGTGTCTTTATTTTTTCATAAAGCTAAGTAGAACGCAGTGTCCACTCCGCAAAGCGACAATTTTTTCACAGGAAAAGTAACTAGTTGCGTGATTCGCAACATTGCGATGAAGAATAAGTAAGTTTATTCAGGTATACACAAATACAGTTACATAGATTATCATACATATCAGCATATGCGTAGAGAACCTAGGATAACCCAAAAAAGTCAGTGACTTATTTCCATTGGGTCCTTTGGTGGCAGATCGAAAGGCAGATCGAAACGTTGACCCAAGTGAAGCTTGTTTTGCAGTTTCTTCTCTTCACTATCGTCAGCAGCCTTTGATATTTATATCTGGTTAGGCTACGTAAAAAAAATGCATTTCTAATCAAACCACATGAACAAAGATTTAGCAAGAAAAGAAAGGACAAACACACAATAATGTAGGCAAAGAAACAAACATGTGGACAAATACACAAACACAGCAATTCCAACTCGTGACTTGAAAAGCTCGTTTTAAAGCCTAACATTGTGCAAATTAAAGGCTTGCTATTGCAATCTTGTCTTTGTTCATATTGGCAGAAGCTACCATGAATGACAGCAAGATTGTCTTCACACTGTAAGATGACAATGCACAACGTTGGTAAACAAGATAGACAATAGCATAAAAGAAGTGGTACCTCAAAGATACTTTAAAGATAACTTTGTTTTACTACACTTCACCCACAATAGGGGTTTTATCACCCATGTTGGTGCTTTATTATGTACTGATAAGAACCTGTCGAGGGTAAAATATCTTGAAACAAAGTTCCTCCTTGCTCAGTGGCTGAGTCACCACTTGAAAAGATACATTACCAAGTGATCTCTTTCTGTATTAACGGTCTACGTACCTTCCGTTTCCTGTTTCTTTCTTTGTGTGACTTGATGGATGGTCCGCATGCACAAACATATACATGTTTGATAATTTCACAGCAAGGTGAAAGAATTTGATAAACCCCATTATAAATATTCTTGGAGGCAGTATCATTGTATCATATCCCACGGGTTCTTCAGTTGGAATGATCAAGGGACGAGTTAAAGGCCATATGTATATTGTATTGTCGAGGGGACGTGAAGCGAGAGATCTTGGGCAGCAGCACACCATGCCCACTGTATGTTCACTGTCGTTTGAACTGTGCTTCCTGGAGGCTATCCTCAGTGTGTGGGCAGAACACTGCGCCGCGCACACCCGGCCTTACCTGCGCTTGCCCAGCTATATGTTTTATTTGATGTAATGAGTGCCTATGACATCATTCCCGATTTCTAGCGAGATTTTAACATTACAGTTTTTTTTATACATTTACGATATGCTTTTAACCCGAGGAGCCTTGCCCGGGAGAGTGGTCCCCAAAACTTTTTTTTCCTTTATAATAGTAAATAAGAACTTTATTTACTATACGTAAAATGGTATACAGGCCTAGCTGACATCAGGGACATACTACTATATAGAAAGCTGAGTATTTCGGTCAAATTAGGTCAATTTTGTCCCAGGATGCAACCCACACGAGTCGACTAATACCCAGCTACCCATTTTAAACTGATGGGTGAACAGGGACAGCAGGTGTCTTATGGAAACACGTCCCTAATGTTTTCCAGCCGTACCGGAGGAGATTCGAACCCCGGACCTGTGTGTGAGTTTGCGCTAGCGATCGAGCTACGGGACACCAACGTTCCCACCCCAGTGAAGGGAGGTCTGATAACAGTTATTCTTCTACCGTTCTGGTATCTCGTAAACCATTTGTGGAACCTCGTAGCTTAGTTGTGGTATGTTGTAGCTCAGTTGTGTCGCCTCGTACATTAGTGTGCATAGTAATTGGGACATTTATTTGGAAAAATTAATGTTTATTTGAAAAATACACGGCAGTGATTTCACATAATTGATTTAATAAGAGATATGACTAACCATTAGTTTATAAGCATGACTACACTCTCTGGCATAGAATTGACCAATGTTGAACACATTTTAGCAAATTCGTCGTGGTACCAGGTCCTAATAACATCAATTAGCTTCACAGTTGAATAATCCTGTTTTGCAATCCTGCATTTGGTTATTGCCCACAGATTCCTAGTTAGGTTGAGGTCAGGAGAATTTCCAGGCAAATTTAGAACTCTTAGCCCACCCTCTTTGAAGAACGTCAGAATTTTTTCTGGAAGTGTGGCATGGAGCAAGATCCAGCTGGAGAATGCCTTTTCCATCAGAAAGTCTACTCATAATGGGATGCAAATGATTGCCAGGATTGCCTTGTATTTGTCACTGTTCAACAATAACAAGCCATACAGGGCCTTTAGCAGTAAAACTACCCCAAAACATCTTGGGTGTGTGTTTTGGCGTTTGTTGACTGTGTCCATTCCGAACAGGTTCGCCTTTGCTTCGTCTTACTATCACTGATCCGTACCCATGTAATTCAAAGTGCTCCTCATCTGAAATATAACTTTCCTCCATTCATGTGTCGTCCATCCCTTATGATCGAGTGCCCACCCCAGCCGTTTTTTCCTCATAGCAGCAGTCAGTAATTGTTTCTTTACCGGCTTTCTGGCAGTTCTACCAAATTCAAGGAGCCTTCGTCGAACACCTGGAGTTTACCTGGAGAGAGTTCCAGGGGTCAACGTCCCCGCGGCCCGGTCTGTGACCAGGCCTCCTGGTGAATCAGAGCCTGATCAACCAGGCTGTTACTGCTGGCTGCACACAATCCAACGTACGAGCCACAGCCCGGCTGGTCAGGTACCGACTTTAGGTGCTTGTCCAGTGCCAGCTTGAAGACTGCCAGGGGTCTATTGGTAATCCCCCTTATGTATGCTGAGAGGCAGTTGAACAGTCTCGGGCCCCTGACACTTATTGTATTGTCTCTTAACGTGCTAGTGACACCCCTGCTTTTCATTGGGGGGATGCTGCATCGTCTGCCAAGTCTTTTGCTTTCGTTGTGAGTGATTTTCGTGTGCAAGTTCGGTACTAGTCCCTCTAGGATTGTCCAGGTGTATATAATCATATATCTCTCCCGCCTGCGTTCCAGGGAATACAGGTTCAGGAACTTCAAGTGCTCCCAGTAATTGAGGTGTTTTATCTCCGTTATTCTCGCCGTGAAGGTTCTCTGTACATTTTCTAGGTCAGCAATTTCACCTGCCTTGAAAGGTGCTGTTAGTGTGCAGCAATATTCCAGCCTAGATAGAACAAGCGACCTGAAGAGTGTCATCATGGGCTTGGCATCCCAGTTTTGAAGGTCTCATTATCCATCCTATCATTTCTCTAGCAGATGCGATTGATACAATGTTATGGTCCTTGAAGGTGAGATCCTCCGACATGATCACTCCCAGGTCTTTGACGTTGGTTTTTCGCTCTATTTTGTGGCCGGAATTTGTTTTGTACTCTGATGAAGTTTTAATTTCCTCGTGTTTACCATATCGGAGTAATTGAAATTTCTCATCGTTGAACTTCATATTGTTTTCTGCAGCCCATTGAAAGATTTGGTTGATGTCCGCCTGGAGCCTTGAAGTGTCTGCAATGGAAGACATTGTCATGCAGATTCGGGTGTCATCTGCAAAGGAAGACACGGTGCTGTGGCTGACATCCTTGTCTATGTCAGTTATGAGGATGAGAAACAAGATGGGAGCGAGTACTGTGCCTTGTGGAACAGAGTTTTTCACCGTAGCCGCGTCGGACTTTACTCTTTTGACTACTCTCTTTGTTCTGTTTGTGGGGAAATTATAACCATCCCAGTCTAAATAAATCTGATATACAAAAAATTTGCCGAAAAAAAAACCTTATGCTGTCTGCCTCTAAAAGGGTTTTTTCTGCTTTCCGACGTTGTATTCCCCTTTAGTCTAATGCTTTTCTAGTTTTTTTTTTTTTAAAACGCTTGTCGCCTAAATATTAACAAAAGGGAAATATTGCAATATTTACTAGGACGTAAAAGATCACTACGGATGACAAAAAAACAGGGGGACCAGATAACGCCCCGCCTTTTGGTGGGGGGGGTGGGGGGGGGGGTTACTAGGGAAAGTAGGGAATGAAATGACGATTACGTCAGTTATAAAGAGGGACAAAAATTGTTCCATAAGTTTTTTTGTTGCCATTTCGCTCTGTGTTAGCCTATAATCATCCTTTCTTTACATATGTGTTTTAACTTTACCCTGTAGACCCGAAAATTTAAACAGAGCTCTGTATGCCCCACAAAACCCAACAAAGTTTTGTATGACCCCATGAAATTCCAAAGCTGTGTGGACCCCATAAAACCCTATCGAGAGCTGTGCGTGACCCCTAAAACACACGGGAGCTCTACGTACTCCATAAAACTACACGGGAAAAAACGTGGCCTCTAAAAAAGCTTTTCTGCAACCTGTGCTGCCTTATGCGAGAAGGAAAACGGTACTCTGATATAAAAATGGCATCGCTTATGGTTTTTTAAAAAAGGTAACGGGAAAAGGCCCCCCTGGGAACATAAGCCTGTTTTGCTGAATGCATTTTGAAAATAGGGTAAAAGTTTTTGGGCACCTGTGCTTAGGGGGTTTCGAGCTCAAGTTCCGGGGCCTACCCACTTTTCTAGCCGTTTAAAAAACACGTTTTGTTTTACTAACACCACAAAGGGGTGAGCAAGCACAAAAAGCTGCCAAACATCGTTTTAAAATTGTCAACAAAACATTTTACAAAAGAAGTGATGCGTCATATTGTTTGTTTAAAAAATGTTTTTAACTGAAGAAACTCAAAAAAACCTGTTTTTTTTTTTTTTACCCCCTAAAATGCGACTCGCTAAATCAAATAATTCTAGGTCATTGTTTTGCACGCATTTTGCCGTGCGGCAGGCGCGCGTAGTCCTGATACAACTGGTTTACTGCGCATTTTCCCGTTTTGTGCATCAACATGGCGGAAACGCATTTCACGCCGGGGGAGCACTGTTTGTGTGGAACGGGCGTGGCACGCTTACAGGAACAAATATGCACGTGTTACGCATTCCTCATCTGGGTATATGGGGAAAACCCACCGAAGAATTAATGGGTCAGTAAATGGGGGTTTGAGAAATTTTTTCAAGTTTAAAGACGCAGGATTCTACCAAGCATGTCAACAAATATCAAGGAAGAGGGTAGCAGTGAACATTATGGGGAAGTCTGCTTACATGAGGGGTCCCGTTTTGGACGTGGGGAAGGTACGAAACGTGCCTTTTTAGGGGACGAGATGTGTACGGCGGTGTTTTAAAAGCTATGGGAAAATCCACTCGCGTGTGGGGGGGGGGCAAAATGGCCTTTTGAGGGGGGTACCGAAGGATCATTTACGCTTAAAATGAGTTGAGGGAGCCAATTTCCCTCATACTTTATGGAGGCTTTCCCAACGAGGTCTACGGTATACTCAGGGCAGCGAAAATTGCAGATTATGTGGTTTTTTGGAACATAGGCGGGCCCAATGCTATAAAAAAGCTGGACGGAGGGAACAGGTACCAGTGATCTTACATCAGAGGAATGATCTGGGGGTGTCGGAGGAAGGAGTAAGGCCAAACAAGATTCCTTGCCGATGGAGTGACGAAGTGGATAGGGCTGAGGCGACTATGGAGGAAAGTGTAAACACTAACAGTTGATAAGGGACAGACGACATCGACGTCTGATGAGAGAGGGTACGGGCCAACAGGATGGCTTGCTGGAGGAAGTACTTAGTTCCTTTTTGCATGACGTTGAGGAGGGACAGGTGGATGAAGGGTGTAAACCTGGTGCAGGCAACTGTGCAGCAAGATCAGAGGTTAGGAATACTGTGTGCACTAATGTTAATGTGCACAACGTTGTGGCAGAGGTCCATGGGGCGGAAAAGACAGGTGACGAGGTGTGTGGGGAGGGGAGTTCTCGTAAGAGAACTGCAGGAACGTCTGAGATGGACGATGTTCTTACTCCAGGACAAAGAACAGGAGTAAAATCTTGGAGAAAGGATGTATGTCATAAGGGAAAGAGGGAAGGGGTAATGTAGGGTTCAATGGTTCTAGGGATAATGAAGGGATAGGGGGGGTGAATAAGCAACTGTCAAGAAAGATGCCATACAACAGGGGGCGGTATAGGAGGGTGTGTGCCAAGAAGAAAGGGTAAACCACCACTTTTAAAATAATTCACGATAGTAACTGTAAATGTAAATGGATTGAAGAATGAAGTGA